CCCCAAAACCCCAAAACCCCAAAACCCCAAAACCCCTCTAGGTTGAAATTTAAATAAAAGTTATCTGAAATAATAAAATAATAACAAATGAACAGTTTATAGGGTGTGAAAGCCAATAATACAGTCATGGGTTGGCAGATGACTTGGCACGCTCGTTCCAGATCAATCTGTAGAGGCAAATTCTTTGTTGGTCCTCGGCATCACCGTCCTCTTACGATCTGTATAGCTACCATAATTTTAGCTGGACTAATTGGTTGGATATAAATGAGCACTCTGCTAAGTAAAGATTTTGACTCCCTCTTTTTATTTGGCGTATACCTGTTAACAACTAGTCTTACTCTCTTCTTTTTCCTTTCCACAACCTATTCAGACCCTGGAGTGCTTTTCAGGCACAAGGACTATGAGTACTTCAAGCAATAATACGATGAAAGAAAGGCTTAGCAAAGACAACTTAGGCAAGAGCTAAATTTAGACTCAAGTTCAAGCGAGTCATCCGACTCTGATTTAAGTCTATATGATGATAAAAGTAGCATGAATAAAAGCAATGCTTCTGCAAAGTAGTTATTTATGGAAAAAACCCGAGAATTTACATAAGGAAATGATAGCGATGAGGATAACAGTCCGCTAGATTTTTACCCATCTTCAGGAAACAACGTAGATATGGCAGTTGATGGTACTGGTGGCTCGCAATATAACTTCGAAGATGAGAATGAAAAAAGAGCTTAGATTCCGAGAATCTATAGATCTAGATTCTGCAATACTTGCTATATATTTAGACCTCCTCTATCATCTCACTGCAGATATTGTGATCAGTGCGTTCTTCACTTTGATCATCACTGCTACTTAGTTAATAACTGCATTGGCAGAAGGAATTTCAAGCACTTCGTACTCTTTGTAAACAATTCTCTCATAAGTAGTATTATCTTTATTTACTGCTATAACACCAGATTTATCCCTCAATGGTGCTTTGAAAATGAAAATTTCAGATCAAGTCCTGATAAATTCGATGCTATTTTGCTCTACTCCCATCTCATATTGATTGTGGTAGCAATGATTGAAATAGTTGTTAGCAAGCTTAGGATGATCTCTTTTTGTATGGCATTGCTTTATGTGATATTATTGAACAACACATTATTTGATAAAGTATTTAACCAGAATTTGGGGATAATTATTTTATATGCGATACAATGCTATGCTTTTGGCTCTAGCTTAGGATATTCAATGCAGTATTTATATCTTAATTATCTTGGATAAACTATGAAGGAATTCCAAGCACTAAAGGATTCTTCTACCAAGAGAAGATTATGCATTAACCCAATTACTGGCTTCAAAAATCTATTGTCTTTTTACTTCGACTGTGATTCCCCTGAGAGCGAATTTCAGAAAGAGTTTGCCAGGCCAGTGACTATTCTAAGCAAGAAGCAGCTTAACTAGGACAGCACTCTATTTTTTGCTAAGGAAGTGGATGAAAGCTAATGAGATTTTATGGATGATAATGTTTGAGTAAAGTAACTTATATTTTTTAGAAATTATAACTCTTTATTTCTTAATTAAATCAATCAAACCATTAGCACAGTACCGATAGAAATTCATCTGGAATGGATGAATTGCATTAATATTTCCTTCATTAATGCTTCATTAAATGTCTGATATGGTATATCAGTAGGCCAGCAGAAACTCCAACATTCAAAGAATCTACAAGATTGAAAGGATATTTGCCAATCTAATCTACGCTTAACTGTGGTGGGATCATAACTCTGTGATCCGCTAACTTACTTAAGGTCTTCGAAACACCATCTCCCTCAGATCCCAAGACTAAGATTATATTTTCATTTTTCTTTAACTTTAATTCATCTATTGAAATGACGCGATCACTTTAATAGTCTATATTTTTATCGTCTTCATCCTTTTCTGCATATTTCTCATGCCTTTCTTCTTATCTATCAACTGGTTCATTGGAATGTTTCTCCAATTACTTTCCCTTTTTCCCTTTTATAGGCTTATCTGAATCCTCTTCATCACTTGACAGCACTTCAACTTCAATCTCTCTTTCGGGCTATTCATCTGTAATTCCAGTTGAATCAATATCAGTACTTATTATCTTAAACTTTTGCACACCTTTTTGAGCATCTTCAATGAATGGTTTCAGAAATTTAACTGAGTACAATGGAATGAACTCTAATGCTCCTGAACTGACTTTACTCACTGTCGGAGTAAGTCCACAGCTGTTATTTTAATTCACAATAATTCCATCCACTCCAATGAACATAGCAGTTCTTAAAATACTGCCGAAATTCTAGGGGTCTGTGATTTAGTCCAAAAACAAAAAGAACTAGCCCTACTTGGGGTCCTTCAAGGTCTCAATATCTGAGAGTTTCCTTATCTTGATATAGTCAAGTTTTGAGACCTTCATGACAACGTTCTAATGTGGTCTAGCCATAGTGAAATGTGAAAGTTTTGGCTGAAATACATTTAAGCACTATTAATTACCTTTGAGAGATATTTAGTCTTAACACCAAAGCTGTGAGCCATCTTGTATATTTAGTCAATCTTTGGATGAGACTTGCGCCTATCCCCTTTCTCAGTAATATTCAGATACAGCTTTTAGAATTTCCTTCTCTAAGCACTTAAAGATGCTAGTACTGGATTGATCCCATAGATATACTCTATACATTATCATTAAATTACATAATCTATTAATTCTACCTGCTTTCCTAAAAAATTATAAATGATTAAAAGTTTGATATTTTACGTCTTAGCAACTTCTTTTTTGTTTTAATAAGCATTAGATGAACCTTAGGCATCTTGCTGTGTTTATTGATTAGGCTAGTGATACTAGCTTTGATACATATTTGGTCTAGGAGGAGGCTAGGTTGCAAACAATCTTAGCTAGTGGAAAAGCAAATCATTATTTCTCGGATATAATAAAGCCTGTCGGCATTAAGACATTTTAATGAACATTTTAATTTTTATTAAATTATGAGAAATTATAGTGTAAGTATAAATAATTTATTAAATCAAAAAGTCAGGTTCATTTTATATTAAATTAAGATTGAACTATATATTTTAGTGCGGATAAAAAATTATATTATTGTTTGTATTATGATTTAACAACGAAATCTTGATACATTTTCAAAGTTATTTACCACTGCTATTGACAGTAGTTTTATTGAGATTCAGTCTGATGTTCATATTTTTTGCTTGTCTAGATTTAATGACCTCCTTAGCTCTCTTCAATGATTCTAGCATACTCATCTTATCTGACATATCTGGCACCATATACATTTTGTTTTTGCTCAACTCTAAAACGCATTATTATTAACAGCAAGTTCTTACTTAATTTCAACTTTGTCTAAGATTTTTCCTCTTGTTTCTTCTACAATGTAGAAACTTTATGATCTATTCTTGGTGAGTTCTTAATATTGTTTACCCTAAGAGAATTGTCAAAATCGATTTAGTCCTATATAAGAATATCAACAGCACTATTATTCATATCTTAGAACTGATATGGTTATAAGAAGGATTGGTCTTCTGGCTATTGCTAGTATAATCCTAATTTGTCTTATATTGGTTAAAGTAAGACTGTACTGCCACCAAGATTAGTAGTGTTGTAATATTGCTAGTGCTGCCTTGTATTCTAAATAACAGACTGCGATCTAGATTGGTTCTGTTTTGTTCTGATGATCGGTTCTAATGCTTGGATTCTCTGAGGCATTGTATCTCTCTGAGTTTTATCTCCAAACAATGCTATTTAGCTCATATCATGCTCTACCTTTCTTATAATTGCTTATCTCTGATTCTAGAAGTATTGCTAGCTTTCTTCATTAACATTGATGGTCTTATTTTGAATTCTACTATCAATCTTATCCATCTTAACATCTCCGTCTCTCATATAAGAAAGCATCAAATACTTATCAACCATTGGTTCAATTTTCTAACCATCTAAATGAACTTTCTTGATCTCTGGAAAGCTCAAATCGATTTTGGACTTAACCCAAGGCATCTAATCAGACTCTTCACCCTGGTAGCATTTCTTAGAAAGTTTCAAAATGTTCTAAAACAGTTTTATCCCTTGACGCTATTTGATGCCTGAATTCTCCTAGTTAAGCTACTTTTTCAACTTTGGATACATTCCATAGGGTGGCTCATCAGAGGTCAAAGCAAAAGTAGGGGATAGTTTTCTATCTTGAATGCTTCTATTATTTATGGTGCCTTTATAAGTGCTCTCAAATCTATTGCTCTAGGAATCTCCTCCGAATTCATTCAAAGCGATGTTATCGCTAGAAACGTTTTCTAAGATTCTATTCATATTTCTTCTTTAAGTCATTGGGTCACTCATCTAATTGCTGTAGTAATTAAGCTAGTTTTTATTCTTGGTTGAAGGAGAGTTGATTTTGTGCTCCAAATTCTCAATTACCCTTAGCTTGTTCATAGAGTAATTTCCATTCTAAGGAGACTGCTTGATATCATCATAGGAAACCCAGTCTTAGCAATCTTGCATAGAAACTTGATCTACTATACCTAGATTTAATCCTTTAGACAAGGAACTATAAAAGTAAAAATAATTTTATGTAATACATAAGTTTTCCCTAGCCTTCCCTGTTTACCCTTTGCTACCAAAAAGCATGATTTGAAGCTTCTTTTGGATTAAGTAACCTATGCTAACTGGTTGATGCACCTCCACCACCTGAAACTTATTTTGCTTTACTCATTTCTAATATTTTATAATGCTATTTAATTTGGATAATATTAATTTGGATTTTAAAATTTTTATCTTTTAGGCACAGACACATTACTACAAGTGGGGTTTTGGGGTTTTGGGGTTTTGGGGTTTTGGGGTTTTGGGG